TAAAAAAAAAAACAAAAAACAAACACTGTTAAAAAATTAAAAAAACAATAAAGAGTGGGGGGGGGGGGGGCAAGGTCAATCACCCCACAAGCCACCTCCACTGGTGCGAGCCCCCATCTGGCCCCCAGGATGTTGTTGTTAGAACTGCTACATTTTTAAACGGAGGCCTCAAAATCCTATCTGTAGAGTTTCACTGAGCATTCCTTTGGATACTGATTCTTTTTCTGGACCAAGGGCTACCAAGCTTGGTCTTTGAGGGACATGCCTTAGGTGAATACCCCAAAACAATAGGCAGGGTCCATGCAAAACCATAATTTGATTTCATATACATGTACATTTAATTAAAATTAAATTCCATTAACATGATTATTCCCCAGAATAACCTATTTAGGAATTCTCCCTTTCTGTCATTAAAAAATTACGCTTTCAAGGTCTGTAGGAAGTAACCCTACGTTTTTTCAGAGATAGTGGCCGCCATAGGCCATCAAGTTGTGCATTTATCTCTAGGCCACAGCAGAGAAGGATACATATGTACTCACACTTTTTGTTCTCTGTTTTTCCTTTTTCATCCCTAGTTGGTACTTTTTAAAATATTTGTCTGGATATTTTGTTAGTTTGCTTGTTTTAAAAAAGAACAGAAGGGACTCTTTTTGCATACCGCTGTTTTATTAGGGGTAGCCCATTTACAATTAAATCTCTCTCAGTGGCCTGTGAGCACAGTCACATACTCTGCCATCCTTGCATTGGAATTTAGATACAGGGGTAGTTTCAAACTATCATTTTCCACATGTACCTTTTCAGGTATTTTAGCCATGTTTACAGGTCTATGACATGCCTCTCCAGAATGGAGTAGTATAGAAATCTTAGTAATAAAAATTTAATAGTAAATAACTCAGGATCTCATCTCTAGTTTGATATGCATTTTTTTGTACTTGGGTCACTAGAAACTTTATGAAATGCTGTATTCCCACTTCAAAATGTTACACCGGGCTCAGTGTTCAATTTTGCACTTTGGCAACCAGCTCATTCTGACTCTTATGTGATGCTTTTCTTCCAACATTTTACTTTAGTCATAGATTATTTTATTTTGACAGATTGGGGATGAAATCCTGGAGATTAATGGAGAAACCACAAAGAACATGAAGCACGCTCGAGCCATAGAACTAATTAAAAATGGTGGCCGCAAAGTTCGCCTGTTTCTCAAACGTGGAGATGGTTCTGTACCAGAATATGGTGGGTCAAACTATGAAAACATTCCTTTTCTTCCTCCTGGCATCACACCATGAATGATATATCTCCAAGATCTGAAGCGGGGATTCTTCTTTTTCCTTTTCTTTCTTTTTCTCTTTTTCCACCAATGTCTTACCAACCTTGACAACAGTGGTTAATTGCCTCGCTTGTGCTGAATTTTCTCTACACTTTTTCATCCTTTGCTTGCTACTATGGACTTTTGTGGGGGCACAGTGTACAGGCAAGACCATCTTCAGAGCAGTATTTTGGTGATCAAAGGGGGCAAAAACATATAGACAAACCAAAACTGTACTATCCTGTCCGACCAAACAAGGAATGTTTATTGAACTGTGCCAAACTGTTTCTCAGCGGATGAATTGTTCCCTCGTCTTCTGATCAATGCAGAGTTGGGAAATGTGTGTTATCCTTTGGAAACTGTTGTCCTTGGCTTTTGTCTGTAAACATAGGCATGAATTCCAAGATGGTGTCTGGGCTTTTACTGTCCCCTTACATTTCTGTAAATATTTATAAATTTATTTTTAAAAACGTATGCAATACAAGAATATATTCACTTGGATTCCCCCCCCCCCGCCCTTTTCCTTTAGAATGTTTGTTCACAACTGTGTAGGCTATGAACAAATTCTTATTGCCATTCTCAATGTTTATTATAAGAGAAGAGATGTTGTTTTACTTTGTTGCCAAGGGAAATATCAGCGTTAAAAATCCCACTTGTATTTAAGTTCCATAGTATTGGTTTTGGGTGGCTTAGTACTGTATATAATATTATGATGTCCTATTTATTTGAGATAATTATTCAGATATATGCCCTAGATGTAGGGCTTTTCCCAAATATAATTGGTTTCCGACCAGTTATGAGTTATAAGCACACAAATGAGCAGGTGTCCTTTAAGTTTCCCCATATTTGGGATAATATATCAATAAATTATATTTCTTTTTATTCCCAGTGTGGAACACTATCAGAAGTCCCAACTAATGTACTTTTCTATTTTTGTTCTCCAGAAATGGGAGAAGTGGCAACAACATGTGGGTGCGATCTTTCAAAGGTTATAATTCTATCCCCACAAATTGCTTTTATTACCAAAAAAAAAAAAAATCATTGTTCTTTATTTTTTCACTCCATTATATTAGCACCAGGTTGAACTGGTCTTATAAATGAATCATTGAATATCTATATATCAATTCAGTTTGTCTTGAGAAAGATGGACGTGTGCTTGTGATATAGGCCAATTATATTCCTTCTAAAGCCACATAAACTGAAAAAGCTGGCTTAGATTAATTTTAGTGAGTTTTTTTTTTTTTTAATGGGACTATAAGAGTGACCTCATGGTACTGTAAGAAGTGAAAAAACTTAAATGGTTGTTTGGGGCAAAGTTATTTGGCATGCTTTATGATGAGAACATCGCCCTTAAACATCCCACAGTTGTTCTGGCTATGGCTCCAATGCCATTTCTTAAAAGGATTTAATTAGTATGCCACACCACACAGAGACTTGTCTGTTTTTATTTAGACCATACTGAAGACTTCACACAGTCAGGTGACTTAGTAGTTTAGCCAACTCACTCTACAATTTTAATCCATGTCATGATTACAATTCCTGTGTTTGCACTTCTGTTGTACACTCAATTGGCCATGTTTCCGCAGGACTAAAACTGTGTAATGTTCTTTATGTTCTGTCTTTTTCCTATGCTCTTTTGGCTGTAAAGTATTGTACCATATGCTAAACATTGCAAATATAGCCTATAAAAAAAGTGCTTCACTTCTTCCAGAATGTCTGTTGCCCTGAGGATGAAAATACAACACCAGGATACGGGGCAGGGTAGTTTCTTTTGGTCTCTTGGTTAGCTTGTTCTCTCTCTCTTTCAGTCTGGGCTGCGAGTCGTTTTTGAAATCCCATAACAAATTCCATTTTCACGCCAGGGGCTTGGACTGTTGGTGTCCTGTGCCTGTCACGTTTGGGGGCTGAGCTGCGTCAGTACTGTCCGTTGCAGTCACTAACAAATTGCTTCAAAAAGAATGAGGTTCCAATATTTTTTCTGACTCAATTGGAACGCGCTTCTCTAACGAGGCTGTATATTTTTGTAATGAGTTTTGTACTTATCTTCAATGTCTGTAGTCTGTAGTAGGTTTCTTTTTGTCGTTGTTGATTGTTAATTGTTTTATCTCTGACATTCTGTCTCACTGCCCCAATTATGTCTCTCTTCTCTTCTTTGCACTCCCTCTCTCGGATACTTTCGTTGTCTAGGTTATTTAATCACCTTTTTTCAATGTTTAAGAACACTGTCTCGCTTTAACCATTGCTGTTTCTGCAGCCTTATATATGGGTGATGCCTAGACAATCCTGATTGGAAAACAAAATAAACTTTTCTTTATTCTAATATTTTTTTAAAAGATGAAGATTTTTTTCCCCTTACCTCTTTATTATAGGGAATCTAAACATTCTACTTTTTTCTTTCTCTTTCTCCTATTTTTCTTGGTGCCGGGGCTCTTCCTTCCTCAGCGATGATACCTCCTAATATCGCTGCATGTATGAGAAATGACAAGCTCGGGGAGTCTTGCTTCTACCTTATGGGCCATAATCAAACTACGGTTTGTAGCTAAAATCAATACTAGGTGTTTCTGTGCTGTGGCCTAATTCTCTCACCTTGCTTTCCACTTTGCTAAACTTCTGCATATACGGCAATTCATTCTGAGCATCCTGCAGTTCCATGAATTGTAAGTACCCTGTACCCCGTGGTCTCCTGCAACAGACCACAAGTTGCCCAACTGACTTGCCATTGTTTGAAGATCAAACAGTGGTCCTCTACTTCTGAAGTCTTATGGTATAAGCAATCCATGGTTTCCTCTCAGAAATCATCAAAGGAAAGGCCTGCAGAAAAGCTAAGCTAACCCCATCTGTCAAGAAAAGAGTTTGCATCAGAGAATTTTATTTCATATTCAGGAGAAAAGAGATGAGTCTAGGATTCTAAGGAGTTGCGTGACTTATTATCATGTTAATGTTCTCAAACATCTATTGGGTTCATGTTAATTATTTGACTTAGAATCCATTAAGCTCTGTCACAGAAGACATTTATGTTTTTTCCAAAGAAATAACCAATTACAGTACCAACTTCAAAGCAATTTAACTGCAATATTTTGCCATTTTTTAAACAATTCATAATCAACTATTGCCAAGAATGTATAAAAAGGTTGCTCCAGCACAGATGATTTGCTGCTTCTGCTTATAGCATCTGTATTTATTGCAACGGGATAAATGTAAATATTTTACCCGATCATTCTGCAGATCTAAACAGAATCTGTTGCATTAATAAGATCAAATCATGTCTTTCCCTACCCTGCTGCTCTCATTGTGTGTGTAAGTTGAATCATGGTGGCAAAACCAAAGTTGTCCTCAATGCTTGCACATATTCTGTATAAAGAGGGGTTAGGTTCTGTGTTCACTGAGTGTACTTAAAACCAAACATCTATAGGTCTCCTGACACCTAGTGACTGTGGGTGCCATACAATTGCAAGTATATATATATAAAAAATCATGAATGGCCTCCAAAACAACATATAATTCCACCACCACCACCCAAAAAACCCCACTCACTAGGAGCTCAACCTTCATTCTTCCCCAGAGCCTGGGAGAATAGCTTCCTGAACATCATCAGGGTGGGAGCCATCTGGAGCTCTGGGGGGTGGGTGGGGGGATCTCATTCCAGAGTTCTGAGAATCGATACTAAAATGATTAAAAATATATCCTTCTTCAAAGATTTTGCACACTGGAAAGTTATGAATAAAGTTATAAGCCATCTTCCAGATACAGTTTTCTTTTTTTTAATTTAAAACATTTTAAAATTATTTTTAAAGCCTATTTTATATCAGGAAATGAAAAGAAAAGGAGGATATGAAGGTATTAACTACAAAGGATTTATGTTAGGCCAACATATTCTGATCTGAACCTGGGAAAAGGTTAATTTTCCCATTCCTGTTGTTGTAGAGACCAGAATTTAGCTTAAGATGGCCATTGCCATGAGAAGCACTCATACTAATGTAGAGCACTCATCCTTTGCTGTTTTACTAAAATTAACAAAAGCTTCAGGAAGCAGCTTATTGACTGCTTAACAATTGCTTGTTTTTGTCACTAATGAAGTCTTCAGAATAATGACTGGTATCAGACTCTAAAATGAGGTCACCATTGCCAAATGTCTTGTTGTTATCTTTTTTTCAGACCCCAGCAGTGACAGGAGCAGCCCAGCCACAAGTGCACAAAAAGTATCGGAAGTGAAAAACATGCAGTATGACAGACAACAACACTTATCATTGGAGCCCAGTTATCCACCAGATCTTCACAAATCATCCCAACATGGAGAGAAGCGGATATATTTTAAGGACCCCAAAAGCAGCAGAGAGTTTGGCAGACAATCAAATGAGCATCACACATGGAACGGAACTTCTAAAAACAGCAATAGCATCCCAACCAGAAAAAAGGACAGGTCACCGGAAAGGAGGCGAGAGCGACAACCAGAGAGAATGGCCATCAACGGACAAAAACGGAAACCTCCTGAAAAGAGGAGGGAAGGTACAAGGAGTGCTGAAAATACTCTGGAGAGAAGAGAAAGGCATGAAAAGAGAAGAGACTTTTCTCCAGAGAAACGAAGAGAACGATCACCGACCCACAGACGGGATAGCTCACCCAGCAGAAGGAGACGGTCGCTCGAAAGGCTAATGGATCAGAGGAGATCGCCAGATAGAAAGAGGGAGAGCTCACCTCCTGAAAGGAGGGCTAAGTCAACAGATAGGAGGAGGGAGAGGACCCCAGAACGAAGAAGAGAGAGGTCTCCCGATAAACGAAATCGAGACGGCAGAGTCAGTTTCCGGGAGAAGGAGGAATGCACGCTGAGATACGACACAAATAAGAGTAACAGGCACCCAGTGGAACAAAGACGGCGACCCTATAAAGAGTGCAGCACTGACCTCAGTATCTAGTGGCTTTTGCAGGCCCACAATACTCGTGTGGCCTTTCCAGCATTCAGAATTCCTAGGAAGGAAGGTAGCAAGCCTCAAATGCCTCCCACAGCCACCACACAACTAAAATCTAATCATCAGACCATATTTACGTGTTTTTGCACATGGTGTAGGTCAACATTAAAGTATTTTTCAGTATATTCATTTCAAAACATACTTGCCAAATGTTCATCCAGAAGGCTGATGAAAGTTGTGTTCCTTTCTAACTAGTTACCATAGTGAGCATAAATTCATTGTATTTTTCTGTGGCTTTGTTGTTCCTTTCTTAGTTTTAGGTGGGCAAGCCACAGTGGTTAAGATTTTATGATCAACCACATTGTTTCATTGATTGATTCATTGCAATGATGAATTTATGATTTTCTAAAGAATGGGTTGGAGGAAGAGGGGGTTGATTGGTAAAACTGAGAACTACTGTGGAGTGATTTTTTTTTCCCCTTTACAAATAAAGAACATAGTACTCAACTTTTAAGAGAACTATTTGAAGAGACTACTGCTGGGATGAAGGATATTTATACAGATCTACACAGCACGAGTAGTTAAGGAATGTATAGTGTGTTCCATGAACAATATGTACTTTTGGGTCTCCTTTAAAAGGAAGTAAGGTGGCCATGGATTCGTACTCATGCATTGCATCATGCACAGGACAAACCATCATGTTTGTTCATAATTGTGACCATTAAAGGCAGCACTACTGTTGTTCAACCGGTAGGACTATGCAGATGAAACTGGAACCTGAATGGTATCACGTGTTTGCCTTGAAGGGAAATTGACATTAATTTGATTCCTTTTTCAAGAAGCATTTTGAGGAACAAATCCTTCTTTTATAGGCTGAGTTTAAATGCTTTCAGGTCAGTCTAAGCATTTAAGTACTCTTGTTGCCAAATGGACCTGTCTCTCTGGGCTTCTGTTTTTTAATTATTATTATTATTATTTTAACTTTTTTCCTTTCTACTTTCTGGTTACCCTTACTTGAGACAAAAAGTACATTTGCGAATTGTCATACAAACAAAAAGATAAAAATTTGGTATGGAGTTCTTGAGAGAAAGCTGTGGTTTGTGCTCTACTTCAGACTGTAAGGAATGGAACAAACCTATGCAAGGTTTTATTCTGTGGGGTATTTTCATGCAAGTTTGTGCGGTAAGTATACTGTAGTGCCGATAGGACAATTAATGGATTACTGCCTAGCTGAGCCAAAAATTTGCCGTTACTGTTGGACCACTCGAAATTTTTAACTGCTGCTTTTTATTTTACAGTGCATTGATGTGTACCTGTATCCTGTGTCACTGTTTTTCATATACCCGTGCACAAACACATATACACAAAGAAAAAGGATTACAAGTCTATCACTGTTATCGCCCTGGTACTGTAAAGAAAAAGGAAAGACAAAGATAGCTTGTCGTTATGTGTACAGAGTTTAAATTGTAATTAGCAGAGCCTGTTGAAAGCAAACAAAAAGAAACTGTTGACTTCTTTGTTTGTATAAAAGAGACTTTATGACAAAATTTAGCTGTGAGGAATGTGCTACATGTTTATATTTCTGGAAAAAATGGAACAAATTGATTCATGGGGATATATTTTAATGTAAACTGAATCAGGTATGTAAAGCTGTTTTAACAGAAGACAATATAAGTAACTTGGAAGATTTTGTTGATTGGAAGATCATATCATGTCCTCCGATGGGGTGGGAAGTGCCTCTTGGAGGCATTTGGGTGCGGTTTGTGTTCTTCAGTCATCATTACTTGCCATGTGCTCTGGTCATAGTGCTGTTTTTCTGTGTTGATGAGAAGCGTATGTGGGCCAATCTTTTTTATAAAAACCCTATGCATATATAAATACTACATTGTTCATAGCTTTATTTGAAAGATTGGGTTTATACATGATGATAGTCTAAGTAGATGTGGACTTTACTCAATATAAGATTCTTTCCTAGGGACAAAATACAATGTATATGATGTAGCTACAATGAAGGAAAGAGTCTCTGAATGCTATTTTTATTATCAAATAAAGATTTCCATACAAAGCATTTACATGATTGTAGTGGTAAGATTAAGGAAGAAATGCAGTGCGTCTGGCTTTATCTTGCTCTGTTTTGACATTGCATTTCACAAAAAAAATACAACACGAGCCTTGGGTTTTTCAGCAGATGTTTGTGCCTCCTCTTGTTGTCTATGGGAGGGTCAGAAGAAGACTGATCTTCCAGTGATTATCGGTATTGTATGTCAGCCAACCGCTGAAGAAGATCCCAACAGGCTAACTGAACACATAACCTGCATGCAATCAGTACCAGGTTCAGTCCTTTGCATTGTCAGATAAAATGTGGAACACCTCCTGCTTAAAGCCTTGAAAAGGCCCTGCCGGCTGTTGAATCAATAATACTGAGTTAGGTTGCTATGATTTTTACTTATTTATTTTTATTTATATTTCAAATTTGGTCACTGCCCATATCACTAGGAAGTGATGCTGGGCAGTTTACAGTAATTCACGGGAGACCTTTTTCTATGGCTCGTCTTAGAGATATTTTCCTTTCTTTGGTTTTATATTTCAATTAGTTTTAAACACAGTGGATGTCCTTCCTAGCCCACCAGAGACCATAACTGATTTTGGGCCCAGAAAGTCATAATGGAATTCTATTGCTTAAACAATAGAAGCAATAGCTGAATGGGAAAAGACTATGTTCAAGACTTCTCAATTGTCTTGAAGCCAAACTGGAGTAGAAATATAACAATGGAGGGCTGAATAAGTTACCATGAGAAATAATCTGTGGACCAGCAAAGCAATAATTGTTTGATGATTTGCTTATGGGTCTGGGAGTTAAATCAATAAAAACACAGGGTGTTCATTTGCAAAGATACATTAAACACTGTTCGAGCTTAGCCAAGGGTGTATGAGAATTAAAATGATTGATTTTAATTTCACATTGGGGAGAAGACTAATTCTGTTCTTGTATATGATGAATGGTCACAACCCAGAGAGGCATTCAAAGTTACTTTGTCCCTTGCTTCTTAATACAGCTTCATTTTGCTGCCCCTCCATTTAAAAAGTCATGCGACTATCAGAGTGGCATGGGGAATAAAAACATTAAATAAGTACAGGTCTACAAATCCTGACCCGATATTCTTAATGTCTAAAAGGGGTTTTGTTGGGTGGTAGTTATTATTTTAATGCTGACCACTATGAACACTGTTCTTAATTTCAGCAGTTTAATTCTGATATTCTACCATGAAACAAAATAGCCTTTGATAGTAATTATTCTCTGGTACCATTTTTTTCATTTATTAAATTTGCAGCATTGCAATCGCCATTTACCTATAAAGGCTCCTGTCTAAAACCTGTTAAAATATTTTGGCTAAGATCTAGATGTTTTACATAAATGTTGAGATTATTAATATCCTTTTGTGACACTGCATTAATTCACTACATTAAAGCAAGTCAACAAAGGCTCAAAGCACAGCAAAACACCAAAGGAAGAGGGAGAAAGTCAAATTGAACATAAGGCATGTGTAATTGAAGCAGAATAATAATGTCTAACACTTACGTGTTAGTGACTTTGGAGAGGTAAGAATTCCATCCATTTGATCTGTGAACAAATGTAGGGTTTTGCCCCTAACTGGTCCATGGCAGCAGACATGCTCACGTTACAGGACACGTTCAGTAAAATTTATCTTTCACTTTAAAAGAACAGAGGTGTGGAAACGCAGGAACTGCACTTCTAAAAGTGCAGGATTCTTTTTTGTTTCTTTAATAATTAAAAATGCTGTCTAGGGAATGCACAGTGAGATGCTTTACAGAGGCTGCCTCTCCCACAGCACTTCTAGTTCTCTGGCAATGATTGCATTAGCATCTGCAGAGCTGTGAGCAGCAAGAGGTGCTGGTTTAGCTGAAGTACCCAGAGAAGGCTAGGAGAAACTTGCTGTACCGAGGTAAATTACATCAAATTTAACTAGAAATGTGGGCAATTTGATTGTCAAGAAGGAGCAACTTGACAAGGATCACTGACAATTTTTCAGTAGCTGTAAGAAAGAAAAAAAAATCCCCTCTCACCCCTATGGGTGGTATGTGTCTTCCTCAATCTCAGGTCTTCTGCCAGAGGCCTGGGAGTTTGAGGGTTCTGAGTAGTATCTTAGCTGTTCTAGTACTGCACACTTCTGGACAGAGAGCTCTGATGTCGTTCCTGGGATCTGTTGGAGCCATCTCCCAGCTTAGGAGTCACAGCCCAAGTGCTCCACTGGGACCACTTTGGCCTCTACTTCCCACATCCTCTCCAGTTCCTCCCTCAGGACCTGGTACTTCTCCAGCTTCTCATACTCCTTCCTGATGTTGCTGTCACTTGGCACCACTACTTCTATCACTACCACTGTCTTCTGGTCCTTGTCTACTCCCACGTTGTCTGGTTGATTGGCCAGTACCTGCCTGTCCGGATCTGGAAATCCTACAGAATCTTAGCCCTATTATTCTCCATGACCTTCTGTGGAATCTCCCATCTGGACTTGGGAGGGTCTAGCCCATACACTGTGCTTATGTACACAACGCCAGCTACTTGATTTTGTTGTTCATTGTATGTTGTCCCTGCCTGCATCTTACACCCTGCCACTATGTGTTGGACTGTCTCTGAGGCCTCTGTGCACAGTCTGCACCTTGGATCCTGTCTAGTGTG